CATGAAAACCAATTTGTACATTGATGAAATTTCCCGAGATTAAATAAAAGACATCTCTCTCTCTCTCTCTCCCCCTCTCTCCCTCTCTCCCTCTCTCCCTCTCTCCCTCTCTCCCTCTCTCCCGCCCTCTCTCTCTCTAAATGCACGAGATTGAGCATAATAGCGCAATCATATTGTAAAGAGCAAGGTCGATAGTGACCACAAACCACCCGAGCGAAGTCCTTATAAAATAATAAAGACACTGTGTTTTAAGATAAGCCGGGTTTTGAATGACTTTCACTTGCTACATGCATTGTCTATACATAATGCATTTTAAATGTTAGGTCAACATGTAAGTCCACATGGTACTATCGGAAATATTTAGTATGTTCATGAAGTATTTTCTAATGTAATGGCGGCGACAAATATGAGCCTTTATATTATAGACCCCTTGCAGCACGTTGGAATGCAGCTCAATCTGGGGGACAAAATAATAGGCTCCAATTCTCAGGAAATTATTATTCTTTTGTTTTGTCCCCTAGATCGGGCAACTTTGGCGTCATATGCAAGGGTCCTTTTCCTTTTCTTTTATGATATACCTTTTGTATTCAATTATTTTTTCTAAGCTTCAAATACTGCGAAGACACCCAATACTGACAGTGAAGGGAATACTATTAACCCACGCGAGAAACAAGAGTCAACTCTTATTACTCAAGTTAGAGGTTTGTGCTGTCTGTTAATCTAGAATAGTTATAAGATTAAAATAAGCAACGAGAAAGGGGAAAGATAATGGATAGATAATGGATAGATACAATACGTACCCTACGTTCCTCCTCTTAATTTCTGCTCGYGACTCCAAGAGGAAAGACATTAACGTTTGGAAAAAGAACCTTCGCTTTGGCTGCACCGGCACTCTGGAACAATCTCCCTGATGCATGATGCAATTAAGTACTCATGAGTTCAGTTCCAGAGTTTAAATCTGCACTAAAACACTACCTGTTCACCAGGAGTAACTGACTTTTTTTTTTTTTTTGCAATTTTTTCCACAAACTTGATATCCGTCTGGATCCTTTTGTAAAAAGCATCGAGACGTTTGTATGATGCGTTTGTTAAGAACTTTATATTATTATTATTATTAATGGATGGAAGAAGAAATAGATGTGAAGTTGGATGGATGGGTAGAGGGATAGAGGGGTAAATGATTGGTTAGCAGGACGGACGGATCCATGGGACAGATGAAGGGACGGACGGGTACATATGGATGAAAGGATAGTTGAAGACTGGTGGAATAGGTACGCTTAATTTACTTTACTAATTGCATTGTCTTAATTTATTTACCTATGAAAATATTATTCATGCATATACATTTTACATTACGAAACATGAATAGTCCCTTTCACAGTTCCCTTTGCCATCTTGAAAGGTAGCCGTGCCTTTGCATCTAAGCGAGACGAACGGTGAGCTTGCAATGATAGATGCCTTTTTTAACACCTTGGACAATTATTCGCATGTCTCTATCATTGCAAGCTCACCGTTCGTCTCGCTTCGATGCAAAGGCACGGCTACCTTTCAAGATGGCACAGGGAACTATGAAGGGACTATAGCCATATGGCATGGCTACATATTATTACTGCTTGTCGTATATTTTGTTGTTTTTTTTTTTTTAATCAGCAACGAACCATGGTTCAGCTTCGGCTTCCCAAGGTTAGTAGAATTCAATTCTTTTGGCCTAACTTGGTGTAGTAACCACCATTATTACATAATCATTCATCTATCTTATGATTGGCCGAGAGCCCTCATCATGGCAAATAATATAAAAGTAAATAAGAAAAGCCGGAAACATGAGTGAGTCGATCCCCGAAACAGGATTTATCTAACTGAGAACATCTATGTTTGGTATTTCTTTCAGGTACTGGTACTGGTTTACTGCTTCTTGCTGTTGTAGCAAGCACCCTTATTTAGGYAACGATTATAATCAATCTTTTGCTTGGGTCGTTTGGTAGTACGGTCGTTTGGTCGTTTGGTCAGTTTCAGCACTCTAAAGCAAACAATCAAAAAATCCTTCCATTATCACTGAGTTTTTTATCGACATTCAACATTAAAACATATTTTGATTACTTTGTGTGTTCCAGGGCTTATAAAGTAAAAGAAGGCACAGTAGTAAATAGATGTGATGCGCATTTAAATACCACAGCAATAGTGCTGTAAGACTCGCTTTTTTTGGAACACAGACTAATAGCACATCACGAATATCTTCGTTACCAAATTACAGTGTGTGCAACCACGTAACTCTCAATTCCTTGAGATATGAATAACAATAATACAGCCGCCATGTTGGTTGATCTAACAAGAGAAGCTAATGAGTAATGCTTTGGTATCGATCGTCAGCAAAGATGGTGGTTATGATGTAACTTGCACATRCTCTAATTGCACATCCGTGTAGTTAACTTGAACAGCCATGATCATATGTGACTTAGTGCAACACGTGACCGGAAGTTACACCGGCATGTACCAAACAGTCAAGGTCAAAACGATTAATATGAAGAGACTGTGGAAAGATTAAATAGAAAGTTTGACCAAAACATACTACATTCCCCATTGTTAACGGTATATGCAATTGCTTTACAGCATCCTTAAATGCTGTGCTAAGGCTCAGGTCAAAGTCTAGGGCAGTCTTCTTTGATGACATTATTTTGGGCTAAAGTGCTCTATTGCATAAACATTGTCGGTTACATTTAACACAGAAGCTGAGACCTAGATGATACGACTCGAGAAATTTAACAGAAAACCGAGCATTGAGGCTTGTAACACACATTTCATACCGACTGTGTGTCTCAAATGAAGTTAACCGTAGACAATTAGGTTTTTTTTTTCAAGAATACCTTTCGAGCTCAGATCCTATGTTCTATGTTTGAACCCTACAATGACTTTAAAATGCATGGACACTTCCCAAAAGTATCTTTGTTGCGAGGCTAAAACTGAATACAAATAAATCACACTTTCCTCGATGAAATTTGTGGAATTAGTTATTTTATATTTTTAATTGCAATTTAAGGCAATTTTAAGAAGCGTCCATTGATTGTAAAGGATAGAATGTAACCCGCTAATGCCTGTGGTCAACTCTGTTGCCAAAAATAAACGTTGTGCTGATCTTACAAATTTGTTGTGTGCAGGTTTTATTTTATTTTTTCCCTCTTCACGAATCGTGACAATGCATATGATAATGGAAAGTATGGAATATATAATTCTGTGGCAATATCTAATATCATAACATGCTGTAAAAAAATGCTTTAGTTTTTAACGTCACATTCGGGAGAACATGAACATATCAAACTCAAATCCTTTCAGCAAGAGTCTTTTTGCGTTGTGATATGTTTTGTGTGTGTGTGTCATGCGAAGGAGTTAATCTTTTGCAAATTTGCAAATTGCAGGCGATGTGTGACGAAATTGTGATTTAACGCAAAGCAAGCTGAAGGAAAGGAAAGCCATTTTTCAGCTTCAGGTTAACGATTGAGAAATGCCGTAGTATTGATGATCATCAGTTGTTTATAGTGACTTTACAACGAGATAGATTGAAAAATGTTTCACAACAATCTGCAAAACTTTTATCGATTCATGGCGTGCGTTAGAAATGCAAAAAACTGAAATAAATGCATAATGTAGCTTATTAGAACTAAAGCAGCCATTACAGAGGCAAGCTAAATTAGCTGTCAATTACGATTCGTCTGTCTGAATTTGCTTTTGTGAATTACGAGGAACGTGCTAGATCTGCTTTTCTAGGGAGTCGTATACAAACATTTTTATTCATAGTAGAAATCGAAAGAAAATATATCTGAAAACTAGAAATGATGAAGCAAGTGTTTAAATTGTCACTATTGGTTGGCACAGCCTCTATGGTAGCGCTGTTAACAGGTGAGAATATACTATACATCCTAGCCAATTTGAATGTATTGAATAACGTCGTAACAAGTCAGATATTTCATACTTTGGAATTCGGAAAACCCATCACGGTAGATATAGATATAGAACATATAAGACTTATATTCAAAGAAATGCCAGTTCCAATCGGATTTTACTCTTAGTGGAAGTACAATTTGATGTAAGGCGAACTCGGTTTGCTCTCTTGGATGCTATTCATCAAAGCAATGTACAAGGAGAACGAGCAACGACCTTTTGCTTTTATTCAAAACTGATGAGACCATCATAAACAAAACCCATTCTTTTAATTTCATGATGAGTTTTTCGAGCTGAGCCTATTCACGCTCTCCTTTTACATTATTCTTTTTTACTATTTTTCAAGCTTTTCTTTCTTGTAAATCAACGCAGGTTTTGTTCTTTAAAATACTAAAACGAGAGAATAGAACCCTTGACATTCAGTGTTTAAGTGTTTCTTTGAGTTAAACAATGATAATTAAAAAAAACAAAACAAAAACAAACAACTATGGCAAGGAATTAGCTCACATATTTTACTGTTATTTTTTGGAATAATAAAATATTATGAAACTCCATGTTTTTTTTATGTTCCTATGATAAAATGAAACGCCCCTTTCAATATACAATAATGTCATATTTGTGCAATATATAGGCGTAATACAGATAATTGCAGCATAATGGATTTTGTTTGCGCAGCGAAACAAATTTGTAAAATCAGTCAACATGGACAATGTAAGTAAAATAATTATAGTTGAATAATTGCGAAGCTTTTACAAAGTCAAATGGAAACAGCAAATAATAATTCATTTCGCAAGAGGGCTACCATCAGTATAGACGAAAAATGAAAAATCAGGTATACTCTTCTCTATTGTCGTCGTAATTTCTATTTCATGAAATGTAAAATTTAATTGAAGGATATGGAATTTGAAAGTTGCTCCTGATTATAACTCATTTCCATCTTTGCAACCCCCACCTCCCCCCCACATACACACACCTCCTTTGTCTACCTCCCTTTGTCTACCTCCCTTTGTCTACATCTCGTTTCTCCCTCTCTTCCTGCGAGGTATCCTACGAGATAAAGATGTTTCTATTCTTTAAATAAGTTTGATTATTTTATTTCCAATATATTATGTCCATTATAGTATTTCAATTATATGGGATTGAKTTCGAATGTAGCTGCTAGGCTTGGTTCCGTTTTCAGACTGAAAAATATGTCTTGACGGTTTCCATAGCAAGGAATTTTATCAGTCGTAAAACACACTGCTGCATGTTTTTCAGCTGAAATTAAATGTAAAACGATTGAAAGCGGGAATTCAGAGGAAAAAGTCTTTTGATTCGGTCAATATAGCTGCTCTGATAGAAATTCTACTCATGCCTGCTTGTGTCTCCATTCAGTATCTTATGCAAAGACGATGTCCAGTATCCCAGGATTCAACCTTAAACCAGGAGACAGCTTCACTGTCAAGATCAACATCACAGACCCTGAAGAATTCGCCCTAGGTAAATTAAAGAACTTGGGCGGCCAACAGGACATCAGCAATGTATTCCTGCAGTACATCAAAAACGAAGGCCTCATAAACGTAACCGATTATGACGACAGAGTTAAGTACATTGGAAATGCTTCGCTGGGCCAGGCTTGGTTTCGGTTTGATAATGTGGGGGTTAATGATACTGGTACTTATAGTGTGCTGTACAAGAGAGAAAATAGTGCAGATTTGTTTACAACCACGTTCAACGTAAATGTTACTAAAGGTGAGTGAGATGAAATTGTGTTAKATGTGGCGAGAAAAATACATTTCGTGTCAGGCCTTCACATTAACAACGCTTAATGATGTTTGAGCAAACTTTTCAATTTGGGATGGAGGGATTGAT